TTTGCGAATTTTCCCCTTGGGAAAGGGGTTAATGGGAATTTTAAATTTTTTAAAAAGAGGAAAAAAACATTTGATAACACAAATTTAGTTTTCGAGCTAGGTCACCAAAGGGTTAAACCTTTGTCCGTCGAAATTTTTGGGTGTATAATTTAAAATTGAAACAGAAACTAATACCCACAGATGCCTAATCTAAAAACAGCCATGCATTTTCCCAAAAAAGAAGCGGGAAAAGAATTCTTTTTATCACAGATCATAATCAAGTCCCTACATCCAGGGCAGTTTTAGGTCGTTTTAAATGTTCTGTGAACCTTCCCAACCTTTGCAGGGGTGTGGGTTTTTGGGTCTTTAAACCCCTTTTACTGTCGGGGGCCGTATATATACGTCTTTAAAGAGGGAAACCCTGTTTGACTTTTAAATACTCATAAAATTTTAGTGGCTTCAAATCCCAAACAGGGGAAAGCTGGTAGGCCCACATGGGGGAAAAATGGGGCTGTGGGGGTTTAGTGTGCCAAACCCAAAAAAAAAAAAATCCCGGACACCAGTGCATTTAAAGAGAAAAAAAAAAATCCGACCGTTTTTTTAAATTAAAATTCCAACTTTGTTGGTCTATTTTCGTATAGTATTTTGGTTGTATTCTCGTTTTCTTGGTCTCATTTGATAGAATGGAAAACATATTATAGAAATAGCGGTGATTTTGATTGATTTTACTATAAAAAGAACCTAGAATATAGAGCTCAAAGTAGGGAAATGTTTGATTTTTGCAAATGTTCAAAAGTTAAAACAAATGATGCCATTGTCCAATAAATGTCCAACTAGCCATTCTAATATGCAGTCATGAATGGGTTGATGTTATTTATACAATTATTAGAGTATGCAGTAGTCTGCATAATAGTAAGTCTTCAATTTTTTGTTTGAATAAAAATTCAAAATAGAAAGCAAGAGTAATATCAGAGGGGCCTGGAGACATGACTGATGAGCAAAGAAAATGTTATTTTAGAGCCAGGAATGTCTGCATTGTTCATTCTGGACCTTATTTTGAAATTGTCATATTTTTTAGTTTTCATGAAATTGGCCAAATTGCAAATTTCTGACCACATTATTAGGTTTACCTGGAGTTTACCTGGAGAGAGTTCCAGGGGTCAACGCCCCCGCGGCCCGGTCTGTGACCAGGCCTCCGGTAAATGGGCAGTTTCTTGTACTCAATCGATAGAAAAAATGGAGTTCTAAAGAAATAGCTATGAGTTTGGGCGACTGGAACAATGGAATTAGCCGAAAATAGGGCTCAAAGTGGGCGAAATCGCCGATTTGTAAACAGCGCCGAGGTCGCTAACTTCGCGAGAGCATAATTCTGTCAGTTTTCCATCAAATTTCGTTTTTTTGGTGTCATTACAATCGGGAAAAGATTCTCTATCATTTCATAAGAAAAAATATTTTTTTTTTTAAATTTTGCGACACCAGGAGACACCTCAGGACTGGGGATTGCGACAGTCAAAGGGTTAAATTCAGAGGATATGTGTGAACCTTTCTTTTACTCAGCAGATGGAATCTCAGTAAGCCAAAAGGAAGTGGAGGATCAGACCATCATTGTTTTCCTGCATATGTTGATATTCTAATCATTGTAGAGAAATAACCTCAAAGTTTGAAGAGTTTCTGCAAGGTAATACAGCCTACTGCAACCCACAAAGAACCTGGAGGTGAAAACAGAGAGTAAACAATGAATACCCTCATACAGTGTACAGAGGTGTCTCAAGATGATGATTCGCAGCATTAAACCTTCCACTGTCTTATACGAAGATCTACATCATGATGCCAGTGTAGCTCACGTACATCTACGCTTTAAGCAAAGTGCCCTCAACTGTGCTGTGAGCAGTAAATTTTGGTCTAGACATGAGAGAATGTGTCTCTGCAGTGAATGTGCACAGTATAAAAAATCCTACCCTACACAGTGCATGATGGGAAAAGCAAGTGTTTAACCTTGTGTTTCGTTGAAAATAGCAATTTTTAAGTGTTTTCTAGATAATTTTTAAAGTTTTATTACCTGTTTCTTGGTATTAATTGATAGAATGGAAGACATACTAACAAAGTAGAGATGATTTTGGTCAGTTTCAGACCAGAAGTAGATTGAAATAGAACTCAAAGCAGCAGAAATATTTGATTTTGGGCAATTTTCTTGAGGTAAGTTATGGCCCTTACCTTCAGTGTGTTTTATAGGTTTTTACCAAGTCTGTTTCAATTACTGGGATGGCCTAAACCATGACCAATCACTCTTGGTTATATTTTATCTTAGAAATAAGGTAAAACTTCAATATTTTGTGTCATGAGGGAAGAAACAAAGAAAGGTTGTTCAAGTTGCTGGATTGCCTACAGTTTTTATTTTGGACTCTGTTTTTAAACAAACTTTAATTTTGTATAAAACTGACCAAATAGCTGATTTTCTGTGCACATTATTGAGTTGCTGTGATAGTTTCTTGTCCTCGACTGACAGAATGGAAGGCATACTAGTAAAATAGCTAGGAACTGCTTGAACTGAGTACAGGCAGGTTCTGCTTATACAGCAAGTTAGGTTCCAGGTTAAAGTGAAACACCCTTTTTTTTTTTACCTTCAAATGCATATAAAAGTCTGATAACATTTTTGCATTATCATATGTATCAAGTGAGCAACAGAGCTAGGCCTATAAAATGCATACACAGTACATACATTACTTACCTTAAAATATTTTCATCCTTAGCTTATAGTGAGTGGTGAATATGTTGTAGGAAGTCTGAATAAATGAAGAATGGGTGTAATTGAAAACTGCTGCTTTAGTGGAAAGCTGTAAAGCGAAGTACTGTAAAGCAGGGCCTTCCTGTACTGGAAATCACTTACAATATTACTGAGAGTGGGCAACGATCACTGCTGTATACAGTGCCCAGACCTCCAATTTTGCACAAGAATGATTCCATAAATTTTCCATCAAATTTTACATTTTTGTGCCATTACCTTCAAAAAAATTCTCTGCCATTTTGGATTTCTTTTTTTTTTGTAAAATTGCAACACTGTCAACACTTTTAATTTAATGTGTCCTAACAATGGTAGGGCTATTTGAACTGAATTGTATAGTAGTGGGTGAGCCTCTACTTGCTCATAAGCATTATGGCTCCATGTTGAACTCTTACTTACAAATCCACTCTTGTTAATTTCTGTAACCTTTAGCAGAAGATATAGGAACTATGTTGAAGCCATTAGAAAGTTCAGACACAGCAAATGTGTGGTGATGAGTGGAATGGGGTGGAAGAAGATTAATATTGAGTGGGAAAGTGTAAGATTGTTCCTAGTCAGGCCTAGTGATGGGAGTGGAGACAAGAATGAGTATTGGCTGTGCTCTTATTGGGATATCAGATCCTAATGAAAAATAAGACTCTGATGTGGTTTGAAATCAGTGTTAATTAATTAAGAATAACAAATTCCAAATAAATCATTTAAACACGTCAGTCAAATAACTTTCTTTTCCAGAGACAAGCAAAATTAATCTTAATGAAACTTATCTAATCTAATTATTTCTAAACAGAGAGTGCAAGAGGCTCTAAGTCATCTAGAAGCAGAGTTCCATGCCAAACCTTACCTTAGAGTCACCAATATAACTTACACACCTGCCACCATCACCACCACCTCATCTTAACTAAGATTAATTAGTAGTGTCAAATGTCACTCTGTATAAACAAATGATCAACTCAAGTGTTAGATGCCATCATAATCTCAGCTTTAATAAATTAAGTAAAAACCTAGAGAGGATACTCATTTTTGCTTTATTACATAATAAATTAATCTTGAAAACAGACTTAGCTTTGCACACAGCAAACAAATATTAAGGAAAGGGTTGAAGGCTCACAAAGCAAAAATATAATTGTAAGTCTAATGAGAAGAACAATAATAAACTTGATAATACTGAATACCAATGTGCAAGAAAGTATCCCAGATCTCATTTGTTTTATTCAAACATAAATATGCATATTTATTAAGTGCCACATTTATTACAGTATTAGATATATGCAGCACACACTACAGAAGCCTGACAACACATGTGTAATGCGCTCAAATATTAGAACAATACCTGCAGTCTTTACACAATAATGATAGTAATGAAGAAATCACAATACCATAGATCCAACAATACCATGGATCCAAAATACCATGGATCCAACAATACAATGGATCCAAAATACCATGGATACAACAATACTGCAGATCCAACAATACCGTGGATCCAACAATACCACAGATCCAACAATACTGAGGATCCAACAATACTGAGGATCCAACAATACTGTGGATCCAACAATACCACAGATCCAACAATACTGAGGATCCAACAATACCAAGGATCCAACAATACTGAGGATCCAACAATACCGAGGATCCAACAATACTGTGGATCCAACAATACTGCAGATCTAACAATACTACAGATCCAACAATACCTCAGATCCAACAATACCATGGATCCAATAATACTGAAGATCCAACAATACTGCAGATCCAACAATACCACAGATCCAACAATACACAACTCTCTTACAAACAGAAGATAAATCTTTAAAGACAATAATGGTCCATGGTGGGCTATTATCAAGTCTTGATTGGCGACCTAGTAATAGCTAAGACAAACTATTATTAAGTCTTGATTGGTGACCTAGTAATAAATAAGACAAACTATTATTAAGTCACAAGTGGTTGGATTCTTATCACTTCCTTACTGGTGACTTAGTAATGGCCCAGGATGAAGCAAATGGTTTTCTAAAGCTTTACCTGCAGTCTGAGGATTGGTTGTGACTGGTGGTAAGGAGTGCACATTAGTAGACATAAAACTAAAGAGGGCAAGATGAGCAAACAAGTGATAATATAATTGCAGGTGCAAGGTATGCAATGTGAGAGAGGAAAGACACCAATCTGAGTTGGTCATGATCTGACAGAGGGTTGAAAGACTTGGGGCACTGTGGGTGGGTTGGGGCCTGTCATTTACCTGGGAGCCGGGCAGAGATCCCCCCGAGAGCCGTCGATCATTCATGTACTGGTACATATGGGAAGGAGACATGCCAGCCGGGGCCTATCAAAACACCAATACCATAAGAAATTCCAAGAAGTGATTCCACATTACCCAAGGAATGTTTGCATTGCACAAAAGTTGTGTGGAAGGTTCATAAGTGGAGAGTGAGTGAATCTATACAATGTTTAGTGCATCTATACAAAGTTTAGTATATCTATACAATGTTTAGTGCATCTATACAATGTTTAGTATATCTGTACAATGTTTAGTGCATCTATACAGTGTTCAGTGCATCTATACAATGTTTAGTGCATCTATACAGTGTTCAGTGCATCTATACAATGTTTAGTGCATCTATACAATGTTCAGTGCATCTATACAATGTTTAAATGCATCTATACAATGTTTATATATCTGTACAATGTTTAGTGCATCTATACAGTGTTTAGTGCATCTATACAATGTCCAGTGCATCTGTACAATGTTTAGTACATCTATGCAATGTTTAATGCATCTATACAATGTTTAATGCATCTATACAACGTTTCATGCATCTAAACAATGTTTAGAGCATCTATACAATGTTCCATGCATCTACACAATGTTTAGTGCATCTATACAATTTCTAGTGCATCTAAGCAATGTTTAGTGCATCTATACAATGTTTAGTGTATCTATACAATGTTTCATGCATCTATACAATGTTTAGTGCATCTATACAATGTTTAGTGCATCTGTACAATGTTTAGTGCATCTATACAATGTTTAGTGCATCTGTACAATGTTTAGTGCATCTATACAATGTTTTGTGCACCTATACAATGTTTAGTGCATTTATACAATGTTTAGTGCATCTATACAATGTTCACTGCATCTATAGCACATCTATACAATGTTTAGTGCATCTATACAGTGTTTAGTGCATCTATACAATGTTTAGTGCATCTATACAGTGTTTAGTGCATCTATACAATGTTTAGTGCATTTATACAATGTTTAGTGCATCTATACAATGTTTCGTGCACAGCTCAATGTCCTTCCGAACATAACTGTCTTGTGAGAAAATAATCACTACTCCTAGCCTCAAACATAAACCTTATAAACAATTCATTCTTAATGCAATGAAGAAAAAGAATCAGTAATCAGTATCTAAGAATAATGTAAAGAGGCTAAAATATTATAAAAGTATAAACTCAGTCATACTCAGCCAAAATAAAATTAAAATAATATAAACCCAATGGCATACTTCACTTTTATAATAAAACTATTTCTGCATTAGACTCATGTGGACCCAGTTAAAAACATATTATGTCTATTCTTATCTAATATCTACCTCTCCTTGCCTTGTTTGAACCCTGAACACACTTGCTTGCCATGTTTACCACTCATTACTATATTGCTGCTCTGATGTGCAGTGCTAGGTGCTCTGATGTGCAATGCCAGGTGCTCTGATGTGTAGTGCCAGATACTCTGATGTGCAGTGCCAGATGCTCTGATATGCAGTGCCAGGTGCTCTATATGAGCCTGACCAACCTCAGTTATCAACCAGATATTGTTATGTCAACACCTAACTTCTCCATGTGTGAATGATTATTATTTGGCCAATTTCCTTTCTGCTTGTACCTGGGAATGTTTATGGATACTGTCTGTGTCTGCATTCATCCAACATGGTGTTCCTGTATTCCTGAGGATGCTGTCCATTCTACATGCCTCACCCACAGCACTTGTGATACTGATGAGTTTTGTTGCTGATTGTTCACTGGATAACTTCATCCATTCTGGGCTGAATGTACCCTACATTGGCCCCTCCTAAACCTTCTGGATCATCTGGGACTATCCCTCTAGTGGGGATGGTCTATTTCACCTGCACGTATGAGCATTGAGGCTTTCCGAGAGACCTTATCTTTCTCTCGAGTCTTCCAGAGATCCCAAAGTGCCTCAGGTTCCTTTAGCAGCCTCTCTTGAAGGTCTGGTTCAACTTGGCCCCAAGATTCAGAGTGAGGGTTCTACCCCTTTATCTCACATTGGGACTGCTAGGGATGAGATGACAAATTTTGTTACCAATACCAATATTGAATTTTAGGCAGATACTGATACCAACAGAATTAACTGATACCTATCAATACTGGCCCCAATACTTATACCATCAATATTAGCTGATGCTCACTGATACCGATACTCAAGTTTACGCCACTACCAGTACCATTAAAATTAGCTGATACCCAATACCAATAATGATAAAAATACTTTGGAACATACTTAATACCTTTACCTTTGATGAATTTTGAGTCTTTTTACTCCCAGAGTCTTGGCTTGGATCATGTCTTTCTGCCTCATATATGAGATATGGCTGCAAACAAACTCTGTACTATGCTGAAACTTCTACTGGACAGCGATAATCTGCTTATGTCTCTGGTGGTTTGGGGCTTTAGGCTAGGCTCAGTAGCATTCTGCTGGGTCTGGGGATGGCTGTGTCTTCAGTGCTCTGATTCTGTCCATTCTATCCAGGACCTTTCCCTTCACATGCACTGGTGATGACACTACTCTCAATGTTACCCTCGTGGAACACTTCTGCATGGAACTCACATTACAGGATTCCACACTTGTTCAGCAGTTTTGACAAGCTTGTGTGTGCTTCTGTTACCTACTGCTCTCTCATTCACAGGGGTTAAATCTCTTCACTATTGTGCCTGCTTCTGGCCCCCAGTGCTCAGTTTGCCTGTAACTTGCCATGTTTCCACAGCTTGAGTATGTTAAGGGTTCTTCTGCCAATTACTTTCTTTCCCAGTGTTCTCAAAGTGACTCCCAGGAGGATTGCTGAGCCTCCCTCTAACAAGCACTTAACACGTGGTCCATTCATTGCACTTCCTGGGTCCTGCATCAGGTTCATCTTGCATGGATTCCATCCAGCAAGGCAGATGCCTTTGTCATTTAGGGTGCAGGTAATATAATTCCAACTGGATCCCCAGAAATCCACAAGAAAATAATGAATTTTGAATGCCAAAACATAGTTTTTTCTGCTTCAAGAACCATGGAGAGTCCTGGGGTTCCACCTCCTCCAGTCCTGTTATTCAATAGGATAACAGAGGCTGGATAGATACAAGTGCCTCACCTGGAGCCTTCACACTACAATAACAATAGAGTAATCACCAGTAAGCAAGGTAAGCAAGTAAAAGATCACACTATAGATAGGAGGGGGAGGTATTATGTAAGAATAAGTGTGATATTATTGCAACTGAGTATCTTAATTAAGTCCCAGATGGAGAAAAGCATCTCTCAGTATTCAGTAGGAAGTTTTCAGAAAGGTACAGGTGCTGAGTACTATAATGATACAGCATGATAAAACATTCTTGAACTAATGTGTATCACAATATAACAAAACACAAAGATTGCAATATTCAAAAGCCATAACATAACCACAAAAGAATAAAGTATTGCTTTCTAAGAAATGGTTCATGCAAGCAAAAAAATCTAAAACTAGAAGAATTTGGAGGAAACTGAGCTGATATTTTCATCTTACTTTTTATTTAAGGACACAAACTGTTACTGCATTTCCCAACATAATGAAGAGAGGGAAATAATTATATAAAGTTATTTTATTTAAGTTTTAATTATATGTAGGGCACACTTATTGCAAGTGAATGTTGACAAGAGTGTGGGTTATGACCAGAGGACAAGTAGTAACACTACTTCCAAGCTTCATCAAGCAAGAGTAATACTACTACTGATGCTGAAGTTGTTATCTGTTACTACTCTATATATACTGTACAGTATTATGACATTAAAGAAGACAATATTACTAAGGAAGAGTGGCAAGTGTAGGGGTTAACTGATGGATCTTTAATGCACTTTGGTCACTATCCCTCTTGAAATAACTGCATGCCTCTATACTTTGTGCACTGAAGACATCGATATTACAGGTGATGCTGCCACAAACAAAGTGCTTAGCATTATAACTACCCCTTACAACCCTCACAGACATAACACTCTTTGGATACACTAAGAAATATTCCTTTCATGAAAAGTCATGCATGAATGCTATATTCTAAAAAGGAATACGCATCCAGGCACTAACTTGCATAAATGGATGTCTTCATCTTGAAAAATGAGATGGTTCAATAAACTTAAAAGAAAAACATTTGAATAAAAATATTTTCCTGAATGCTGTGGAAGCACCATGGAATATCTTATGATAGACATCATTAATTCTTTATTGGTTATTATATAATCTCATTGGTTTCAGAGCAAAGACATCCAATACCTACATGACAAACCAATAGTAGAGGAGGTAAGTACTCACAGTGTGGTACTTTTGTAGGTAGTCTCGAGAGGGCGAGTGGTGAGACTTGGGAGTCGACCGACCAGAAATAGGAGGAGAAGGACGTTCTATGGATCGTCCTCGCAGCATCATGTGCTCTACACTACCCACACGAGACTCTAGCTCTTCTGCCCGGGCCTCTGTGGTTTGTTTCTCTTCCTGAATTAATCTGTGCACAATGTAAGTTAGTCAGTCCCTCAGACATCATGCAATAATCTGATGCAGATATTGGCACAAAACTATAGCTGTAACACAATCATTACCTTTATAAAATCATCCATATGGCTTGGAAATATTTTTAAGCTAAGATTTAATTTGCACACATATCAAGCTCACACATTTGATATTTTGATATTCTAATTCAAGTCGTCATGCACCTGCTTTGCTGTTCAGGCAGGGTTTCCCACGATGGGGGGGGATGGGGAGAGATCATTCCCCAATAAGCCTCTGTCCCTCCCACAGAACCTCTTGTCCCCCCCATAAGGTCGCTGCATGAGAGGGAGATCAAATGATAAACTATAGAGCAACATAGGAAAAATCAAACATTAAGCACCCAACTTAATATCAAAAGACAAAAAACAACAATAATCTTGACAGGCCAAGAGAGTAACACATTTCAATTCGTAATTAAGTCAAAATCATTCATTTTACTTCACTAGTTACAAACATGTTTTACATCAACACTAATTTGGCTCTTACCCCATCATAAGAACGAGCATTAAGAGTAATTCTTTTATTGTGGATAGTTACTGGTTACCCCTTTATTACTTAGTATTGATTATCTGCAGGAAACCCTGCCACTTCTCACTTTAAACATTACCTAAACGTGATATTTTTTCTTAACTCCACCTTAAATTAAGTTCAAAGAAAAAAATGAACTCAAGAGTGATTTATTAAAGCCTCTGGCTCATACAATGTACACTATATTTAACAAATTTTCAAGAAGAATCTTAAATATACAATAATAAATTTTGATGTACAGGTACATGAATCTTTCACTCTATCCATTTATACATACATACATATGTATATATAAGGAGTACTGAGGAAATGAAGGAGCTCAGATATTTGGAAGAAGTCTTGTCAGCAGATGGGTCTATGAAAGATAAAGTGAACCACAGAATTGACGAGGGGGAAAAGGTGAGTGATGCCCTGAGGCATCTGTGGAGACAAAGAACGTTTTCCATGGAGGCAGGAAGGGAAATGTATGAGAGTACATTGGTACCAACACTCTTCTATGGGTGTGAAGCATGGTGCCCCTCCTATAATGTGCCCAGTGAGCATATTACAGGTGGAGCACCTATTATTAACTTACTTTTAGCCAGCTCCATTTTTCCACTCCTCAGATAATTCTTTAACAGTTTTGGTGGGAAGCCAGTTACTGAACACAGGTGGGGGGTGTGGGCGTCCAGCTCTGCTGGGGCTTGGCAAGGGGATCCACCTGATCTAATTGGGAACTTCTAGTTCCTGTTTCTATTTATGAAGGAACTCTTGTTCCTTTTTCTTTCATCACACAGCCTTGGGCAACAAATCTTCCCTGTACATTGGGAAGATGGGCTCTATGCAGCATAAGCTGTCAGTGGGCCTGATAAACCCAACAAACAAAACACTCGCACAAGTCCTAGTTTATTATAATATAAGAGTGCATCACTAAACTGATGCACAAATATGTTTGATGTAGGTACTGCTTACATATTAGAGACAGGTTCCTTTCATTTTTTAACCTTTATTATGCAAAGAAAGATATGAAGAGGGTATGTAAATACTGGAAGGTCCTTCTCCTGGTCAGGTGCAGTTCATGTCTGTCCTCTAAATTTGTATATACACACTGTCTCCAGCATGCTCACACTTGAGCACAGACGATTTAACCCTTTGACTGTTTTCAACGTATAAATACGTCTTACGAGCCAATGTTTCTGACGTATATATACTCAATAATTCTAGCGGCTTCAAATCAAGCGGGAGAAAGCTGGTAGGCCCACATGTGAGAGAATGGGTCTGTGTGGTCAGTGTGCACCACATAAAAAAAATCCTGCAGCACACATTGCGTAATGAGAAAAAAAAAACTCTGATCGTTTTGGAATAAAACGCCGACTTTGAGGTGTATTTTCGTATAGTATTTATCATTGTATTCATGTTTTCATGGTCTTAGGTGATAAAATGGAAAACATATTACAGAAATAGAGATGATTTTCATTACTTTGACGATGAAAACGACCTTGAAACTGAGCTCAAAGTAGTGGAAATGTTCGATTTTTACCAATGTTCAGGAGTAAATAAATCACACCACACGTTCAATACACGTCAACTGGGGAGTCTAATATTCTTTCACTAGTGCACTGATATTATTTATACCATTTTTACAATAATGCAGTAGTCTGCATAACAGTAAATTTTGTATTTCTTTGTATGAATAAAAAATCAAAATAGAAAGCAATAATAATATAAGAGGGGCCTAGAGATGTGACTAATGAACAGAGCATATGTTATTTTAGTGCCACGAATGTCTACCTTGTTTATTCTGGACCCTATTTTGAAATTGGCATCTTTTTTAGTTTGTGTGAAATTGGCCAAATTGCCAATTTCTGACCACCAAATTGGGTAGTCCAAATTAGTAAATGGGAGGTTTCTTGTACTCAGCTGATAGAGAAAATGGAGTTCTAAAGAAATAGCTATGAGTTTGGTCAACTGGAACAATGGAATTGGCTGAAAATAGGGCTCAAAGTCGGCGAAATCGCCGATACGCATATGTCGCCGAGACCGCTAACTTCGCGGGAGCATAATTCCATGAGTTTTCGACCAAATTTCGAACTTTTGGTGTCATTACCATCGGGAAAAGATTCTCTATCATTTCATAAGAGAAAATAATTTTTTTTTTTTCAAAAATTGAGCGACATAGAATGACAGTTTCAGAGAGGGGCCTGAAACAGTCAAAGGGTTAAATGATGTGAAAACACCGCATATACAGTAGGGCCCCGCTTTACAGCATTTTGCTTTATGGCGTTCTGCTAATACGGTCATTTCAAATTATGACCTAAACTCGCTATACAGCTCCCCCCCCACCTGACTTTCTAATATGGTCACCGTGCCACACCTAGTATGTTTACATTCTCCATGAGCTCCATAAGCACCACGTCTCTCCATTATGTCTGGAAACTCCAAAATTTCAAGTGTTTTTATAAGTTATTGCATATTTTATATATACTCTGATAATTATACTTATCTACACCTGCACCTAAATAAACTTACACACTGTGCTGGCGTGCAGATACACATTAAAATCAGTAAGAGAGTGCTTGAGATGCCACATTAGTAATGATAATAATAATACTCAATAATAATCACTGAGTCTCATTAAATGTTGTATATTACATTAATATACACATTTTCACTAATCCATCTACGATATTTTTTCAAAATTATATAATAAACATGATACGTAACATATAAAAATGATAAATACACCCCACAGTAGAATAAATTAACATAAATATGAGATGTCGTAGCCAGACAACTTGTACGAGTGACGGCAAGAATGACATTTTCTCTAGTCCAACATAAGAGAAAATGTGTTACTAGGGGTAACTGTAGAAAATTGTTCCTTTCATAAAGCTTCACTCAGAGCATTATTTCTTCTAAAAATGGTGTTACATGAGAATGGGAGTGTTCCTCTTTATTTATTCTAAGGTATCAACGTAGAGACAACTTGTACGTAATGTGACTTGTACACAAACCAGATGTGTTTGCCTGGTGAGTTTACAAAACTCATGTATGCCTGGTTTGTTTACATAACTCCATGCCTGTCCTCTCTCATGCACTCTCTCTCTCTCTCTCTCTCATGCACTCTCTCTCTCTCATGCACTCTCTCTCTCTCTCTCTCTCTCTCATGCACTCTCTCTCTCTCTCTCTCATGCACTCTCTCTCTCTCTCTCTCTCTCATGCACTCTCTCTCTCTCTCTCTCTCTCTCATGCACTCTCTCTCTCTCATGCACTCTCTCTCTCTCTCATGCTCTCTCTCTCTCCCCCTCTCTCTCTCTCTCTCTCTCTCATTTATTCGTCTTATCTCATTTACTCACCTCTGACCCTACATTAACCCATTCAGGGTCAACACGCCCTCTCCTAAACTTGTTTGAGAACAAGTTTAGGAGAGGGCGTGCCGACCCTGAATGGGTTAATGTACAAGTTGAGTTGTTTTTCAAAAAAAAATTAATTAATTTTTCTTATGAAATGATAGAGAATCTTTTCCCGATCATAATGACACCAAAAGTAAGAAATTTGATGGAAAGCTTACGGAATTATGCTCTCGCGAAGTTAGTGGTCTCAATGATGTTTACACATCGGCGATTTCACCCACTTTGAGCCCTATTTTCGGCCAATTCCAATGTACCAGTCAACAAAAATCATAACTATTTCGCTAGAACTGTATTTTTTTTTATCGAATGAGTACAAGAAACCACCCATTTACCGATTTCAACTATCCAGTAAAGTGGTCAGAAATTGGCAATTTTGCCAATTTCACACAAATTTCAGAAGATGCAAATTTCCAAATAGGGTCCAGAATAAACAAGACAGACATTCCTGGCACTAAAATAACATTTCCTCTGTTCATTAGTCACGTCCCCAGGCCTCTGTTACATTTCTTTTGCTTTCCACTTTGAACTTTTATTCTCACAAAAAAATAGAAGATTTACTGTTATGCAGTCTACTGCATTAGTGTAGAAATGGTATAAATAATATCAGCGCACTTGTGAATGAATATTAGACTCAACAATTGACGTGTCTTGGACGCATGGCATGATTTGTTTACTTTTGAACTTTGGCAAAAATCGAACATTTGTGCTACTTTGAGCTCAATTTCAAGGAACTTTTCCTTGTGAAACCAATCAAAATCATCTCAATTTCTGTATCATGTCTTCCACTCTATAAAATGAGACCAGAAAAACTAGAATACAAACATAAATAGCATACGAAAATACACAGCAAAGTCGCTGTTTTAAACCAAAAACACAGTCAGAATTTTTTTCTCTCATTATGCAGTGTGAGCTGCAGGATTTTTTTATACTGTGCACACTGACCACATAGACCCATTCTTTCATATGTAGGATTACCAGCTTTCTCTCGCTAGATCTGAAGGCACTAGAATTTATGCATACTAGTATGGCACCAACCCTGGCATGCAAGCCGTACTAGTACAGCACCATCCCTGAAAGGGTTAAGACTACAAATATTTTAAGGTAAGTAATGAGTGAACTGTATATGCATTTTATCGCTCTGGGATACTTAAATGTTATAGAATATTATGTGTGGGTAGGGTGGCCTGGTATGGTAGCCCGACTGACTACCATACATACCACACCTTATTTCTTAAAATAAATACTATTCATCTCACCCTAGATTAAGACTACAAATATTTTAAGGTAAGTAATAAGCGTACTATATGTGTATTTTACTTTTTTATTGTTTTTTAATGCTTAGTTCTATTGCTAAC